TTTCACTCTACTTGCCAAAATAAAATGCTAATTAATTTTTGTTTGAAAAAATAAGCTGGAACTTATGAAAGAAATTTTTAAGTTATAAGAATCCTAAGGCTCATAATATAAAAGAGCCCTAAGACTCATAATATAAAAGAGTCCTAACGCTCATAATAGAACTGTGGAATAAGAGATGTGTGTTTAAAATTTTCATGTTAAAATTAACGTGTGTTGTATAACAGCTTAGTATAATAGGCTTCATTTGAACAGGTGTTTAAATTTTTGTTACCAATTTTCTTCTCAGAAACAAAATACGGTTGGAGTGAGTGAAAAAAAGACGAATAAATCCGAAGGCAGGCGATTCTATTAATTCAATTCAAAAGCAAAAAAATTATTAATATTTTTAAAATGGAATGATTTTTATATTTTTTTAACTTGTTGTAAATTTATTTACCAATTTTTTTGAATTCAATTGACTTTGGTTTATTAAATTTCAATCACACAGATCACATAGATTTTTAAAACAAAGATTTTGTCGATCTCTGTACTAAATTTATTCCCAATATCTTAGAATTTTTAGTATTTTTCCAATTAAAATCTATACATTTTTTTTCTTTAAATTTTTAAAACGAAAGAATTGAAAAATTAAAGAAAATTTCTTTTACTTGATTAATAATTCAAACTTTAAACTAGCAAGCTAAAATACAATTTCTCTTATTTTTCTTTCAATATATAAAAGAAGGACAAACGGTCAGATGAAAGCGGACAGATTGAGGACATAAAATAACTAAAGCACAAACAAAACAAAAAAATAAAATAAATTTTTACCAACAATAACCATTCTACATGCTGCTTTTACTATAGCAGAAGAAAAAAAAAAGAGAGAAATTGTGAAATACTTCTAGGATTTTATATAGTAGTTATGATGCCAACCACTTTATATTGGCCCATCATAACATTGCAGGGTTCAGGATATGCTTTTTTTTTTTTGCTTTTTTATTGTTTTATAGTTCAACATTTTTGTTTTATTTTCGGTTTTTGTTTTTCTTTTCTATATAAACGACAACAACAATGATTATGATAAAAAAAAAAACAAAAAAAGAGAGAAAAAAAAAGAAACTTGGATATTTGCAAATATAAATGATCCTTTTATAATATACAAATATAGATATCGCACCCTTAAAACTAGACTGTACCACATATGAAATGTTGCAAATGTGGAGCAATGGTAACCTATAGATGTGCGATGTTATATTAGATTTAGTGATAACAGTTTGGTCTCAAAATCTCGATTAAGTATGTGACCCCAATTACATTTGTTTTTACTTGTAATCTGGATCAGATTTCGATTCCGACGATAATGCATTTAAAGCAGTAGTTTTTTAAATTTTAAATTGAAAAAAGCGACTATAGGAATTGAAAAATCCAGAAATTTCGACTTTGACACTGTTTACTTGGTACTCGCTTTTTGACTTTGATTCTCATTTTTCGACTTTCACTTCCCGACTTTTCGAAATTATTTCCGATTTATTTCCGAATTTTCGAATATGACTCTTCGGATCGTTAACTTCAACTCTTCAACACCAGCTCTTCAATTTCGACCCCGATTCTGGGATACTAAAAAAAATAAATCGTTCCAAATTGAGCTTTATTATTTAATTTCGCACAGAACATACCAGACTCTAAATTAAAAAATCTCGAACATTCAAAATTGGAAAAAGATATTTTAGTGATGTTTTAAAGCTACGATTTATCGTGTGTATGTATATTTAAATATATATATATATGTATATGTACGTAATAATATGTTTATGCATATTATTATATCTTATACATATATCTAACATACTTATATTTTAAAATATTCATAATATATTTGTATTTGTATAACAGGATAACAATATTCATATATCTACATGTACATATATATTAGAGAAGGCAATAATAGTAGCAACAGCAAATAAGGGGAAAAAAAAGAAAGGGCAGCAAATTGACTATGTATGGATTGATGGGTTCATTCGTGAGGGTTGATGGGTGGAATAACATAATATTTGTTTTCATTATTTTATTTTATTTTTTCTTTTTTTATGGCTTTCTGTTATTTTTTCTTTTTATTTTATGATTTTTACCATTTTCTCGTCATACATTTTTTGACAACGTTCCTATTATAAATAAATGTACATTTGTATATTGATATAAATGCTTGTACATTTAGTATAACAGATATATTATGTATATAACTGCATATATATATGACAGCATATCTTTCTAAATAAAAAAAAAGAAAGAGAGGAAACTGAAAATAAACATTAAAAGAATGAATGAGACAAAGATATCTTAAATGTAAAAAGCAAAAAAGAGATGGAAATATAAAAATAGTTAAAAGAAAGAAAAAGAAATAGGTACAAAACAAAACAAAAAAACAGAAAAAAAACGAAAAGAAAATAAAATGAAAGGGACGAAAAATAAAGAATTGATAAAATAAATATATGCATGGCTCGTTATCAAAAAGAGAGAGCAAGAATAATAAAAAATGAAAAGAGTGAAAGAGATAGAAAGAAATTGAAATTATTTTCCTTTTTATTTTATGTTTTTTTTTTTTTACTATTTCTGTTTTGGTTCGTTTTTTTTTTTATTTACGTTAAAATTCGTGGCAAATGTTATGAGGAAAGAGGAGAATGGTGGGAGCTTTGAATGTGAAAATTTTCTCTTTAAGGATTTAAAAAGACGAAAAATACCTTAAAAATTTAATGTTTAAAAAAAAAAAAAAAATTTTATATTTTGTTTTCTTTGTATTTTCCAATATCTTCTTGCTCCTGTAAAAAATTCGGACGATGAAAATTTTTGTTTATTTTAAAGAAGTGTAAAAAGAAAATTTTTTGATTCTTTGTATAGTTTCCAAGAAGGATTTAGTTTGTCATACATAAGTACATATATGGATGTATGTATATGTGCCTATATACTGAATTTTTCTTTACCTTCTCTCCTTTCAACATAAATGTTTCAGTTTCTTTTTTTTTTTTTTGCTAAAAATATTTTCTATAAATATCAAAAGAAAAATATTTGAATTCAATAACTTAGCAACAAGTATATTTATACTTAAAAATTGAAATATACTGGTACAAAGGAAAATTAAAAGAACGTTTTGCTATTTTGTACACTTATTAGTAAAGATGAATTGAGGAAATCACACCTATAACTAGAATACATACATCTATACATTTCCACGCATAAATAGATTTTATTAAACAAATTTGTTTGTTAAGAAAATGATTTTTTAATTATTCACTTAAGATTATTTTTAAATACTAAATACTAAATCAATAAAAAATACTAAATTTGTAGCTTTAAATAAATTTCTTCACTTAATTACATACATATTTGTATTAAATATGAGGAATTCTAATAAGTGTCATTTGTTTTCTGAACCACGAACAGAAATTAATTTAAATAAGACACCACAAAGTAAAATTTAAGTTTCACTATCATTCTTAATGGTGTGGTTTTTCTATATAGATTTTTTCAAATTCTAACCGACGTTTTCTATTTTTCAAATATACAACAGGTTTCTTCTTGGCAATACACTCTCTGAGTCCGACGTCTAATAAACATCTTCTAACATTTCTCGCAGACACATCTAAATTGAAATCTTTTTTCATTTGTTGCTGAATCTTAATTGAAGTAAGAAAAGAATCTTTTTTATTTAAACGTACCATGGCTCTATCTTCATTGACCGTTGTTTTTGTTATCTAAGCTTTTTAATTTTTACACATCGCAAATAGCGTTTTGTACAAAACAACGAGATCTTTTTACCACAGTCGAAATTTTTTTAAACACACTCATAAATTAATTGGCTTTTATCTGGAGTGCAGTGTTTTCCTCTCCAAAGTTTCATGCTTTATTAATAGTTTCACAGTATTTTTAAGCAATATTTATTTATTTTTAATATTGAAGCTCTAAAATTCCAAAAACTTATTAATTGCAACATTTACTTTGAAAAATTATTAAAATAATAGCTACTTTTAAAATGTGTCTTATTTAAATGCCCGCAGTATAACTGAAGCACTATATTTAAGGTGTCTACTATATCGAAAACAAAAACTCCCATTATAATAATTGCTTTTGAAATTCTAAGTGAGGAAGGCAGTATGTTTCAAAATATTAATATTATGTAGGGTGTTTTATTTAGCTGGCCACCAGTATATATATATAATCGAAATTTGATCATTTTAATCCTATATACCAGGAAAAAAGAGCTCACATACAGCCAATGTTGCAAAAATCCTATTTTTGATAAAAATAGGATTTTTGCAACATTGGCTTTTTTGATTTTTGATAAAAATATAGTTTAGCTCCTTCATTTTTTCAACGTATGTTTAATATAAGTGAGCCTTAAATCATTGTGATAAATTTTAGTTTCTTGAAATTTAATTACATACCATATTCTTGTAATGCCTTCATTTTGCTTACCTATATTTTCAGTTTAAATCTTCCAAAAATGGAAAGTGGTTGTCTGGATTAATATTTAAGTTCTAATATTGAAAAATAGATTTGATAGTCCTGTACAATTTTATTTAATTCGCGATAAAGATCTCCCATCAAATTTGATACTGTTTAAACATCAAAAATATGATGACAAACCGTTCTAAGACAAATGTATTGTCATCAGCCCATAAACTAGTATGAGTAACTTGTATATTACAACAATCTGAACTACGAAATCTTCCATATTCAATAAAAAAGCTTGTGAAAAATTTATTAATTTTTAAAATTACTTTAAAATTACATTTTTTATTTTGTTTCCTTCTAATTAATTAATAATTTTATTGACAATTAATAAAAAATTTGTACCATTTTGTTTTTGAATTTTTTAAACAAAAGCTAAAAAGTAATTAAACAACAAAAACTTTAATAATCGAGAATTTATTTTATAGTTTTTTTTTTATCTACTAAATTTTTATTTAAAATTTTAAATTATTCTGTAATTAATTTTAAATTTTTTTTTCCTATCTTTTCAGGTGAGTTTTAAATCAATTTTTTAATGTGAATTAACTATAAGTAAGTAAAAGTCATTAAAATTTTTAATTTCTTTTATTGAAATGCATAATAAAATTGTAATTATATTCTAAATTCTATATTTTGAATAGCTCGCATTGTTTTGTGTTGTTAAACATTTTATAATCTATTAGAATAATCTCAAAATGATTTTACAAAGTATGAGATTATTTTGCCTTAACCACGGTTTTTCATCTTTAATGCTTTGTAATATTTTCTAAATGTGTATAGAGGAAATATTTTTTCTCAGTGTGTCAGAAATCAAATATTTGAAAATTTGTTCATTATATTTCATTTTTGATTTGAGGAACTGGAGTATGAACACCTAAATTTGCAATTGACTAATGAATAATCTGCATATTAGTATCGGACATCGATGAAAATAAATTTTTATATATACCAACTTACACGCATTTGTATATACCCGCAATTAGTTAAGTAGGTAAGATCAATAATCTCTGATAACCGTCGGAATGATTAGTTCTATTGGAGTACGAATGACAGTAATAACTTTCATAGTAGTGCTCAGAGACTCAGGCTCGTTCACTAAATATGATTCTGTATAATTTTATTGTTATAATTTGAATAGCTTTTGAGAGATCTGAATATTATTTGAGAGCAAGTTAAAATTGTATATGCAAATAAGTTGAATTCACACCATACGCATCAAGTTTAAATAAAATTTTGGAATTTGATACATACAACTATGTATGTATACACTTAAGTAAATCAAATGTAGACATGTCAATATCTCAGACTAATAGCGGAGTTACGTTAAACTTACATGATATGAACATTGGTAATAAAGGTAACAATTTGTCTGGATTTCAACCTTATCATCTTGTAATTTAAAAAATATTTTGAATTTTTAATGCACATAAAATAATTAGTCAGAAATTATTGTCATTAATATTTATAAATGGCGATTCTCATAAATAATATTAGCAGTCGAACAATTAAAATCTGTCTAAAAAAAAAATGTCAATATTTCAAAAATAATTAAATGGAGAAAAAAAAACTATAATTAAATAAAAAAAAAAATAACAAATTATTCAATGTAATCAAAAGAAAGAGTGAGAAAATCTTTTCAACTTTTAGTTCTGTTATTATACGACACAACATTTATATGTCATATACGACACATTTGAGACCGACATTTTTATAATAGGAACATTGCGGGTAATTATTTTTAATTTCTAGACTACCAGACTATAATATTACATTTTGATTATTTATTCTAATTTATTATTTATAAAAAAAAAGCAAGAAAATAGCAAAAAAAAAAAGTCCAACTAATTATAGACGTTTTAGTGAAGCGTAAATTTTTTTCTATAATACACAAAGCATTTTTTGTTTTTTTATTTAGCGCTTTTCGTTTTTACTTGATTTAGTGACATGAAACTTATGTTAAAATTTATATTTATATTATTTAAAGTAATTTACGTATTCATATGTACATATATATGTGTGTGTACATATAGCCTTCGAATATACGATATATGTAAATGTTATACACATTAATTTTTTTTTTTGAATTTAAACAGTAGTGGTGTTGAGTAACAGGGTGTTAGAAAAAAATTCAATCATATTTTATTAAGTACTTAATACTTGGCATATGGGTATAATTCGGCGCCGAATTACGCTTGCAGCGTTCGTGTTTTCGTGAATCACGCGGAAGTTTAGTTAGTCAGAAAAATCGCATTAAATCAAAAACTACTTCGTTTTCATGAACGGAACAAAAGAAAAAATGCAAATTGTTGCAAATCAAAATACGTATTTTTACGTGACCCGCGCTCCTACTACAGACTACAAAAAACGTAAAAATACGTTGCCCGCATGAAAAGTGTTAATTATGTTAAACAAATTTATATAATGTCGTAACTCGAAATGTCGTATTAGAAGATATCGTATCTCGAGGACTTATTGTATGTAGCCAACTGCTGGAATGAATGTGCGCCAACTATTTCTATACTACCATTCTATATATACTGGTCTAGTTAAAAGTGTTACCCTCTTAGTTGCTAGTGTCGTATGCCTTTAATGAAAGAGAACCAGTAATAATTAATTTTTTAATTATTATTTCTTTGTTTTTTTTTTCTGAGTAGAGTCACTTTTAAAATCAATTTCATCAAATATGAACCCATATGATTAAAATGCACTCGTGTGTACTTAACAAAATTATTCTATTTTCAAACTAAATTTTAATTAAACAAATAAATTTTCAGTTTATAAAGTGTTACACCCTGTAAAAATCTAAGGAAAGAAGAAAAAAAAAGCAAATAAAAGTACAAATCTTTTGCACACTATTCAAAAAGTGTCTCTTAACAACACATACACGCCACCTACTTTTGAACTAATCTAAACATTTTTTTTTTTTAAATGTAAGTTTTTTTATTGTTATTATTTTTTTTTTATTTTTTATTGTTGCTGCTATTATAAATATATTATGTACTTTGTGATTGATTGAATTAGGTCATCGGAAGAAAATTTGTCAAATGGTGTAGAGACATTTTTTATTTTTTCATTTTATTATTATTTTTTGTATATATATTTTAGTTTTTATTTTATATGTAATTGTTATTATTTTTGTAGGGCTTAAAAATACAAAATATTATACTTTTAAAAACAAGGAATATTAATGTTAATAACTTAAGGGATAAAAAAACAGGATAAGGTCGATAATAGTAACATAATAGTTTCTTTGTATAATTCAATTGGTTTCAAAGAAATTACTCTCAAACAAAAATTTTGATACCTCTCTGTTATTAACATTTAAAGTAAATGTAGTTGTCCAGAGCTTTTCAAAACTACATACATGGAAGTACAAACAGAAACAAGGCCCTCAGTCTCCGGCACAACGAGGGTGCTAAGAATCCCCGGAGGTAAAACTCAACGCAAACTAAAAATAGGTACTTGGAATGTTCGTAGCATTTATGAAAGCGGTAAACTAGCAAATACCATACAAGAAATGAAGAGACTTCACATCGATATATTAGGTGTTTGTGAAACATGGTGGCCTGATTCTGGCAAATGTAAAACAAACGGTGCAACAATGTATTATTCCGGGAACCAAAGTAGAAACCATAGAAATGGGGTTGGAATAATCGTCTCAGAGGCCGTCGAAAAATGCGTAAAAAACTTTTTGCCATACTCAGATAGAACTTTATTGCTTCAAATACACGCGAAGCCTTTGAATATAAACATCATTCAAACATATGCACCAACTGCTGATAAAACTGACGAAGACGTTGAATCATTCTACAATGAAGTCGAGGAGCTCATGAAAATGACCAAAAAACACGAGATCAACATCATTATGGGGGATTTTAATGCCAAAATAGGAAAGTCGCAAGTAGAAAAAATTGTTGGACCATTTGGTTTAGGTACCAGAAACCCAAGAGGTGATAGACTAATTCAGTTCTGTACGGAACAAGAGCTCAAAATAATGAATACTTGGTTTTGTTTACCACCTCGTCGACTTTACACATGGAAATCACCTGAAGATAACGATCGAAATGTAATCCGGAACCAGATCGACTTTATATTAATTAACCAGCGATACAGTACATGCGTATCAAAAGTTTCAACGTATCCAGGTGCCGATGTTCCTTCAGACCATAATTTACTGTTATCGCAAATCAACATAAAATTGGCAGTAATGACAAAATCAACACGCAAAAAACATTTAGACCTACAGAAACTCAAGGAAGATGAATGTAAAACCGAAGTTACTCAGGAGCTTAATAATCAAATGAAATTAAATTTCGAAGGTACCAGCTTTAATAATGTGGAAATTGATGAAGTATGGGATCGATTGAAAAGTACTATGAAAAATGTAGCTTCAACCAAACTGGGCCACACGAACAGCAGAGCAAAACAGAAATGGATGACAAGCGAGATCTTAAACTTAATGGACCAGGGACGAATGCACAAAAATAAGGACTATAGTCAATATAAGCGCCTGCAAACAGTAATTCGCTCAAAAATTAGATCTGCAAAGTCACAATGGTTGAACTCTCAATGTCAAGAAATTGAGACTTTTCAAAATCGTCACGATATATTTAATCTTCACAAGAAAATTAAAGAAACCGCTGGAGTATACCGCAAACAGACATTTTCTAATCTAGTTGACAACAATAATAATATAGTCCTAGATCAAGAACAGAAAAAACAAGTCTGGAAGGAATACATAGAAGAAGTATTCAATGATATTAGTAGAACCGATGCTCTAAGAACTTCGGAAACTGAACCCACAGGTCCTTCAATAACAACAGAGGAAATAAAAAGAGCAATTAAGTTGTCAAAAAATAATAAAGCTCCTGGACCCGATGAGCTACCCGCAGAAATTTTTAAGCTAATAGATGACGAAAACTTAGAAATTTTGAAAAACATTTTTAACAAAATTTATGATAGCGGAATATATCCAAAGGAATGGCTAAGTTCGGCATTCGTTACCTTACCTAAAAAATCAAACTCGAAAAAATGTAGTGAATATCGACTTATAAGCTTAATGAGCCACGCTTTAAAAATTTTTTTAAAAATTATTCATTCCCGTATCTACAAAAAATGTGAAAGCAGCATCAGTAACACACAATTTGGCTTCAGGGAAGGTCTCGGTACGAGAGAAGCGCTTCTTGGTCTCCAAGTATTAATTCAGAACTGCCGCGATGTTCATCGAGACATTTTTATATGCTTCATTGACTACGAAAAAGCTTTCGACTGCGTGCAACACGACAAATTAATGGAGGTTTTGAATAAAATAGATCTGGATGAAAAAGAGATTCGATGTATCAAAAACTTATACTGGAACCAAAAAGCTCAAGTTGTTACGAGAGATTTCACCACTGATGAGATAGAAATAAAAAGAGGAGTGAGGCAAGGTTGCATATTATCGCCTTTACTTTTTAACCTATACTCTGAAAAGATATTCGAAGAAGTAGCTGATAACGTAGATGTTGGTATAAAAGTAAATGGAGTAAATATTAACAATATACGATATGCAGACGATACCACCTTGATTGCCGGCAGTATTACTGAACTACAACAACTTTTAAACTCAGTAAATGACCACAGTATGCTCTTCGGTTTAAATATGAATATTTCTAAAACCAAATTC